AGGAGGAGGAGGAGGAGGAGGAGGAGGAGGAGGAGCAGCAGCAGCAGCAGCAGAGCAGGAGCAGCAGCAGCAGCAGCAGCAGCACACACCACCACCACCACCACCACCACCACCACCACCACCACCACCACCACCACACCACCAGGCAGCAGCAGCAGCAGCAGCAGCAGCAGCAGCACCAGCAGCAGCAGCACCAGCAGCAGCAGCCACCCGCGCACCAGCACCACCAGCACCAGCACCACCAGCAGCAGCACCACCACCACCACCACCACCAGCACCACCACCACACCACACCACCACCGACCAGCACCACACCACCACCACCACCACCACCACCACCACCACCACCACCACCACCACCACCACCACCACCACCACCACCACGCTATCAATATTCTCATAATACACTGGTGTCCGTGGCCTGGTAGGCAACGCTCTCGCCCCGCACATTGAGTGTCTGTGGTTCAATCCCCAGTCGAGTGGAAAAATTGGGCGTGTTTTCTTATACCTACTGTCCTCGTTCACCTAGCAAGGAAGTAGGTACCTGGGTGTTAGTAGACTGGTATGGGTCGCATCCTGGGGGACAAGACTGAAAGACCCCACTGGAAATAAGATAGACAGCCCTGGATGACACACTGATTTTCTTGGGTTATCCTGGGTGGCCAACCCACCGGGGTTAAAAATCTGAACATAATCTTATATAACTTTCAAATATCACACTAAAAATCGTAATACTTGCATTGTGTATCCACCCCCAATGGACATAAGCCAGTCTTTGACTTGATCAAGACTGGAGATTCTATGGGACGTGTGACCAAAATATTACAGCAGCACGATGTACCTGCTATCTTATGTGTTTATGAGGACAGTTACAGGTTTACGTTTCACATTCATTTGGCAGGATAGTAGTACCTTCCCGGGTGGTTGCTGTCTACTAACCTACTATGATAGGAGGGTAGTACTTCTCTGGATGGTTGCTCCCTACCATCCTACTACGATAGGAAGGTAGTACATCCCTGGATGGTTGCTGTTTACCAACCTACTATGATATGAGGTTAATTCCTCCCTGGATGGCTGCTGTCTACTAGCCTACTGCGACAGGAGGGTAGTAACTCCCTCGGTGGCTGTTGTCCATCAGCCTGCTACGACAAGAGAACAGTACTTCCCTGGATGGTTGCTGTCTACCAACGTACTACATTATATGCAGGATTACTCTACATTCTAAGCAGGGTTACTACATTCTACATAGTATTTCCGTACTACATTATCCGCAGGATTACTACATTCAATGCAGGATTACTACATTTAACGCAGGATTGCTACATCCAATGCAGGATTGCCACATTCAACGCAGGATTACTACATTCAACGCAGGATTACTACATTCCACGCAGGATTACTGCATTCAACGCCGGACTGCTACCTTTCACGCAGGATTACTACCGTCAACGCTGGATTGCTACATTCAACGCCGGATTACTACATTCCAAGAAGGATTACTACATTCCACGCAGGATTACTACATTTAACGCCGGATTACTACATTCCACGCAGGATTACTACATTCAACGCTTGACTGCTACATTCCACGAAGGATTACTACATTCAGCGCAGGATTACATTCAACGCTGGAATACCACACTGTAAAATACAGTGGTGGAGTTTCTAGCGACATCTTCTCTAAACATTTCATAACTCACACTGTAGTAAGATAATGTCAGCCGAGGCTTCAGTGTTCCCTTTCTCGACAAGTTGTGAAACAGAGAGAAAAGTGGAGAAAGTGAGAAGACAGAGAAAGTAAAGAGGTGAGGAGAAAGCCGAAGTCATAGAAAGTCGCGTGTGTACTGAGGATTTTAAGCAAGTGCCGCTGTACTGGGGAAAGTTCAGCTCAGCACGAACATCGAAGTTCAGATTTATGTTGGAAACGTTGAGCTGAGGACCGTTTCAACAAGGTAGCCTCTGTGAAGGTTTGGAGAGAGAGAGAGAGAGAGAGAGAGAGAGAGAGAGAGAGAGAGAGAGAGAGAGAGAGAGAGAGAGAGAGAGAGAGAGAGAGAGAGAGAGAGAGGCTTTCAAATGAGTTGCTGTTGGTAACAGCTCTTAGCTTGTCAATAAAGTTAGGAACCCTTAACCTAACCTTGTAAACACTGTGTAAAATAGAAAGGAGAGAGAGAGAGAGATTGTGGCAGAGAATCCTGTTTTAATAATAATATAATAATAATAATAATAATAATAATAATAATTTAGAATGACTATAGTCTCTGAAACGGCAGTAAATAACGTTTTTAATATGATCAAAGCAAATTTTATTTTAGTAGATTATAAAACCAACAAGTAGATGAACAAGGCGCATGGGCAACACTTGGGTAGTTCTATATGGCGACGTTTCGCCCACCATTGGTTTCATCAGTCCAATACAATGAATAATCCTGAAGACTGAAGAAGACATGAAGTAGCCTGCTCACTTTAAATTACTTTATAACTTCTCTGCATTTGATTAATAATAGTCACTGGTGGGCGAAACGTCTCAACAATAAAGATAACAAAAAAAGGCACAATACCGTGAGTGGAACGATACACAAATAACCCGCACATAAAAGAGAGAAGCTTACGACGACGTTTCGGTCCGACTTGGACCATTTACAAAGTCACACTGTGTGACTTTGTAAATGATCCAAGTCGGACCGAAACGTCGTCATAAGCTTCTCTCTTTCATGTGCGGGTTATTTGTATAACAATAAAGATACCGAAGTGTTGCCCATGTGTCTTACGAAGGAAAACATCTCTTGTGATCTTTAAACCTGAAAAAAAAGGGAGCGGCCAGCTCAGTAATGTATCGGAGAGCGCAAGAGAGATAAGTTGGTTAATGGGGTTTGAAGTCTATCAGCTACACTAGGGTCACTGAAGCTGCTGGGTAACGACCAGAGGAGAATCTTGCCTAAAATGATTAGCCTTAATTTAAGCTTTACTTTAGAGATTAAAGTATCTTTGACTGGTTGTGTACAGGTGACATGCAACCGTAATGATCTTCGTCAGTATGTGATGACCTGGTCAGTATGTGATGACCTGGTCAGTATGTGATGACCTGGTCAGTATGTGATGACCTGGTCAGTATGTGATGACCTGGTCAGTATGTGATGACCTGGTCAGTATGTGATGACCTGGTCAGTATGTGATGACCTGGTCAGTATGTGATGACCTGGTCACTATGTGATACCTGGTCACTATGTGATGACCTGGTCACTATGTGATGACCTGGTCACTATGTGATGACCTGGTCAGTATGTGATGACCTGGTCAGTATGTGATGACCTGGTCAGTATGTGATGACCTGGTCAGTATGTGATGAAACCCTTCTCTTGAAACCTGGAATATTTACATTTTTTTATACTCTCTCCGTTTATCCTCAATTATATTCACTGACCTTTTTTAGTCCAGTCCTTCCGTTCCCAATTACCTAAAAAAAAAAAAAAAGTCAATATTTACCCCTTAGTTGCTCGTAAAATCATGGTTTTGTAAATTTTCCAACAATTTGTGATTTATATAATTGAAACATTTATATTCTTTGTGTGTTTATGGACAAGTTTATTCAGGTATAGGTATATATAAATACGGTTACCTAAATTTTCATACATAGCAGCACATGTATAGGTTACCTGGGATCACCCAAAAAATTCATAGTGACTTATTTTCATTGGGGTCTTTGTAGAATCTTACTTAAACCTTAAAGTTAAAACAGCTAAGTTAAATACACAAATAACCCGAACATAAAAGACCGAAACGTCGTCGTAAGCTTCTCTTTTTATGTGCGGGTTATTTGTGTATCGTTCCAGTCACGGTATTGTGCCTTTTTGTTATTTATTCAGCGAAGTTAAAAGTTAAAAGCAGTTACAGTAAGAGGAGAAAACTTTTCTCGATAATGCTATAAAAGAAAGGAACCATGGTCATAATATATAACTGGTATAAACCTTGGTAATAAATACCGACAAGTTGGTTAAGAAAGACACTTAAGCAAACACTATGACATATTTATTAGAAAACGTTTCGGTCCTGGGACCTTGATCACTTGATCAAGGTCCCAGGACCGAAACGTTTTCTAATAAATATGTCATAGTGTTTGCTTACGTGTCTTTCTAAACCAACAATATATAACTGTTTGTAAGCACGATCCACTGAAAATTATAGAACTTACAAACTAAATAACCGAACAACTAAAACAATAAACAACCCCCTCTTCATTTTTTTAGCAATTTAGACACAAAACAGCAATGTTTATTGCAAAATCTACTTATTATTATATTTAGTTAACTACAAACTATTAACTAAATCCACCGAGCAGATGAAGTAAATATTGACCCAAAAATATCTCATTTACAAAAAAACATGGACATTTGTACCGATTTTGTTATAGTTATAAGTCCCTATATTTTTTTAGAGGTTATCCTAGGTAAATTACACTTATGTTACTATGCAGAAAATAAGATAAGATAAGATAAGATTTCGTTCGGATTTTTAACCCCGGAGGGTTAGCCACCCAGGATAACCCAAGAAAGTCAGTGCGTCATCGAGGACTGTCTAACTTATTTCCATTGGGGTCCTTAATCTTGTCCCCCAGTATGCGACCCACACCAGTCGACTAACACCCAGGTACCTATTTGCTGCTAGGTGAACAGGACAACAGGTGTAAGGAAACGTGTCGAAATGTTTCCACCCGCCGGGAATCGAACCCGGGCCCTCCGTGTGTGAAGCGGGAGCTTTAGCCACCACAATTGTAATCTTCCACAAACTATCTAAAATATCTAAATAAGCTTACTGTAGCTATTACGTTTGTTTACAAACTTGTTCAATCCTACATTTGAAGAGTAGCATCAAGACTCGTATAGAAGTATTCAACATTGTTTTATTTCATGCAAACGGAAGCTTGGCAAGACAAAGGCGATTTTGTTTTACATGACGCTCGTTTTCTGTTGGTCGGATCATGTATACCGAGGCGCAGCGTGAGGCCAGGCGGAGTGCTCAGTAGTAATTCAGAACTCAGTGGGGGTGTTCATACGTTCAGTTCTGGCTTCTTAACACGTGTGTATACAATGAATGTGTTAAATACTTTGGATATTAGAAGAGAATACCTGTGGATAATACTCTTCTGCACCACCCTGACTGGTAAGTCCACTAAACGCAATCACTTCTCGTGGAAAACGAGGCATTTAAATGTAAAGTTGTGCCTCAGATGTAGGTAGCGTTGTGTAAGGGAAAAAAATGTAAACATACTTAGACCTTTAAAAATGGTGGGCGCCTGAGCCGTTAACGCCCCGGAGATGAACTAAAAAATGCGTAATATCGTCAAAAATAACACGAATTTGGAGAGCGTAGAGGTGGGACGTTGTGCTGGAGTGTTTGCGTAGGCTGGAGTGCTCCCTACACAATATTGATTAGGGTAACGCCCAGGATGAGGGAGGGGGATTCCCCGTGAACACAGGCCTCCCAGATGCTCCTCCCACCTAATAATAATAATCTTTATTTCTACAAATACATGTAGAAGGTTTACAGGTGTAGCTGACATCAATGACATACTATACGGAAAGCCTCTTGTTACAATGGGGTTAACACGGGTATCCACTGTGAGCGATACAGTGGGGTTCATAAAGGTAGCTGTGAGCGATATGTTGTGTGTAATGAAGGTACCCACTTTCAACGAAACATTGTAGATAATAAAGGTACCCACTTTCAACGAAACATTGTAGATAATAAAGGTACCCACTGAGCGAAACGTTGTGGGTAACAAAGTTACAGTGGTGTGAGCGAAACGTGGGGCAATAAATTTAGGTGTGCACTCTGTGAGCGAAACATCAACTATACGTACAAATACTTTTTCATTCAAGGGGGGAGGGGAGACTGGGATACCTTGGTGCACATGAAAGGCTCTCGATCCAAGGAATTGGAGCTACCCTCTCTTTATCCTTGGATCAAAACATCAGTGCCGTCCGTTTCGCCCCACGCGCTATATGACTTTGACTTCTAGGGGATTGCCGCTTTCCCATGAATTATTATAATAATAACATATAAATATTAAAATAATAATAAAATAGTAATTGTAACAATAGTAACGGCAATAATAATAATAATAATAATAATAATAATAATAATAATAATAATAATAATAATACAATAATGATAAAAATAATAATAGCACAGTACTCGCCCCATCCTGTTCCTCATCCTCATATCAGACATAGACAGATATATAATCCACAGCACCGTATCATCCTTTGCAGACGATACTAGGATCTGCATGAGGCTGTCATCTACTGAGGACACGGTTCACCTCCAAGAAGATATAAACAAAGTTTTCCAGTGGGCAACGGTAAACAATATGATGTTCAATGAGGACAAATTCCAACTACTCCGTTATGGAAAACTGGAGGAGATAATAACTAGAACAGAGTATACTACAAACTCTGGCCATACAATAGAGCGGAAAAATAATGTAAGGGACCTGGGAGTAGTAATGTCTGAGGATTTCACTTTCAAGGATCACAACAGTGCCACGATCACAAGTGCAAAGAAAATGATAGGATGGATAATGACAACGTTCAAAACGAGAGATGCCAAGCCAATGATGATCATTTTCAAATCAATTGTTCTCTCTAGGCTGGAATACTGCTGTACATTAACATCTCCGTTCAAAGCAGGTGAAGCTGCAGTTCTAGAGAGTGTACAGAGAACTTTTACTGCACGTATAAGTTCTATCAAGCACCTGAACTACTGGGAACGCTTGGAAGCACTTGACTTGTACTCGTTGGAACGCAGGAGAGAGAGATATATCATAATCTACACTTGGAAGGAAAATAAATACCTGCTGACAGCTGGAAGGAAAGTAAATACCTGCTGACAGCTGGAAGGAAAATAAATACCTGCTGACAGCTGGAAGGAAAATATAGTAGAAAGTAATAGATTTACTTTGAATATGCTTACTGACGACGTTTCGGTCCTCGGATCTTGAGCCCGTCAAGTATAGTATATTTGATGATGTAATTGAAGTGGTCAGCGGTCAGTAATGGTGTCCTGAGTGCATACATTAGTGTTTGTTTCCCTCGTGATGGATGAAAGAGGTTTTGATCTGTTGTAAAATGTGGCATAGTGTGTGCTCGCCTATTTGTGTTTGCCTGGTCGATTCACGGCTCCTGGAAGCACCTCTTCACTAGTCGCTACTGGGTCACTCTCCCTGCTCCATAAGCTTTATCATACCTCTTCGTGTGTACTGTCTGTGTGTGTGTGTGTGTGTGTGTGTGTGTGTGGTGTGTGTGTGTGTTGTGGGGGTAGTGTGTAGTGTGTGTGGACGTTGAAAGAGAAGGGGTTCCCTGCTTTCACTGACCCCTGGAGAGGGGTTCCCTGCTTTTCACTGACCCCTGGAGAGGGGTTCCCTGCTTTTCACTGACCCCTGGAGAGGGGTTCCCTGTTTTTCACTGACCCCTGGAGAGGGGTTCCCTGCTTTCACTGACCCCTGGAGAGGGGTTCCCTGCTTTCGCTGACCCCTGGAGAGGGGTTCCCTGCTTTCACTGATTTCTGGAGAGGGGTTCCCTGCTTTCACTGACCTCAGCAGAGGGGTTCCCTGCTTTTACTGACCCCTGGAGAGGGGTTCTCTGCTTTCACTGACCCTTGGAGAGGGGTTCCCTGCTTTCACTGACCCTTGGAGAGGGGTTCCCTGCTTTCACTGACCCCTGGAGAGGGGTTCCCTGCCTTCACTGACCCCTGGAGATGGGTTCCCTGCTTTTACTGACCACTGGAGAGTGGTTCCCTGCTTTCACTGACCCCTGGAGGGGGGTTCCCTGCTTTTACTGACCCCTGGAGATGAGTTCCCTGATTTTACTGACCCCTGGAGATGGGTTCCCTGCTTTTACTGACCCCTGGAGAGTGGTTCCCTGCTTTCACTGACCCCTGGAGAGGGGTTCGCTGCTTTTACTGACCCCTGGAGAGGGGTTCCCTGCTTTTACTGACCCCTGGAGAGGGGTTCCCTGCTTTTACTGACCATTGGAGAGTGGTTCCCTGCTTTCATTGACCCCTGGAGATGAGTTCCCTGCTTTTACTGACCCCTGGAGAGGGGTTCCCTGCTTTTACTGACCCCTGGAGAGGGGTTCCCTGCTTTTACTGACCCCTGGAGAGGGGTTCCCTGCTTTTACTGACCCCTGGAGAGGGGTTCCCTGATTTTACTGACCCCTGGAGAGGGGTTCCCTGATTTTACTGACCCCTGGAGAGGGGTTCCCTGCTTTTACTGACCCCTGGAGAGGGGTTCCCTGCTTTCACTGACCCCTGGAGAGGGGTTCCCTGCTTTTACTGACCCCTGGAGAGGGGTTCCCTGCTTTTACTGACTCCTGGAGAGGGGTTTGCTGCTTTCACTGACCCCTGGAGAGGGGTTCCCTGCTTTCACTGACCCCTGGAGATGAGTTCCCTGCTTTTACTGACCCCTGAAGAGGGGTTATCTGCTTTTACTGACCCCTGGAGAGGGGTTCCCTGCTTTTACTGACCCCTGGAGAGGGGTTCCCTGCTTTCACTGACCTCTGGAGAGGGGTTCCTTGCGTTTACAGACTCCATGAAGGGAGGTAAATGCTTTCACTAACCCCCATGGGGGCTCCCTGCTTTCACTGATCCCACGGGGGAGAGATTACTGTTTTCACTGATCTCACTAGGGAGAGGTCACTGTTTTCTGACTCCACTGGGGAGAAATCACTGTTTTCACCTTCCACAAAGAGCGGTCAATTTCACTGCTCCCATGGGGGAGTGGTCACTGCTTTCACTGTTCCCACGGGGAGAGGTCACTGCTTTCACTGTTCCCACGGGGAGAGGTCACTGCTTTCACTGTTCCCACGGGGAGAGGTCACTGCTTTCACTGTTCCCACGGGGGAGAGGTCACTGCTTTCACTTCCCACGGGGGAGAGGTCACTGCTTTCACTGTTCCACGGGGGACAGGTCACTGCTTTCACTGTTCCCACGGGGGGAGAGATTACTGTTTTTACTGTTCCACAGGGGAGAGGTCACTGTTTTCACTGTTCCCCGGGGAGAGGTCACTGCTGTCACTGTTCCCACGGGGAGAGGTCACTGCTTTCACTGTTCCACGGGGGACAGGTCACTGCTTTCACTGTTCCCACGGGGGGAGAGATTACTGTTTTTACTGTTCCACAGGGGAGAGGTCACGGCTTTCACTGTTCCACGCGGAGAGGTCACTGCTGTCAGTGTTCCCACGGGGGGAACGGTCACTGCTGTCAGTGTTCCCACGGGGAGAGGTCACTGCTGTCAGTGTTCCCACGGGGGGAACGGTCACTGTTGTCAGTGTTCCCACGGGGAGAGGTCTCTGCTGTCAGTGTTCCCACGGGGGGAACGGTCACTGCTGTCAGTGTTCCCATGGGGAGAGGTCACTGCTGTCATTGTTCCCACGGGGAGAGGTCACTGCTGTCAGTGTTCCCACGGGGGGAACGGTCATTATCCTCGGTTAGTTCATTCACTGTCCCTTTATGTATAACAATTTCCTTACTCCTCCTCTTGATAAATAAGACACATGTGCAACACTTGGGTATCTTTATTGCCGAGATAATAGATGTCCAGGTGTTGCAGATAAGCCATGATCCACCGCGAGGCGTGGTGATGGACGGAGCCGCGGGGGCGTTGACCCCAGGAACACCCTCTAGGTAGGTAGACTCCAGGTCAACGTGTCTTGCTTATGAACGTGTCTGTGTTATATACCATATTCCTAGTTCATTATGACACCTACCCTGAGTTGGGTAATTAATGTAACAATGGAGGAACACTGCATCAGGCCTACTGGCCCATGCTTGGCATGACTTTCTCCAAACTAGCCATTCCCACCCACCTGGAAATAAGTACAAGGACCCCATTGGAAATAAGTTACGTTGACTTTTTTGGGGGAGTTATCCTAGGTAATTTACGCTTCTTTTTGATTATAATAATAATATCCTAGGTAATTTACGCTATGTATGATTGTATTTATGTATACTTGTGCCTAAATAAAGTTTATTAACTTTTTCCAAAAGCTACCCACGTACCAAGTATATATTTTTTAAAGCTATACAAGGTTTTAGTTTCTATGAGCCCATTGGGCCAGACAGTGAGTGGTTCTGCTGCTTCTCACTGCCCCAGGAGACGCGTTGTCTGCTCCCACTACTTAGGATTGAAGTACTTTGATTTGTCTGGTCACTTCTTCACGTGGGAAAGTTCTCTGAGCTTCAGGCGAATTTTGTAGGGTGTTGAGGATATTTTCCGTTTTGTAGGTTCTAATTAAGTTCTAAATTCCATACTGCCTACAAATGTGAAGAAAATAACTGTTCTTCTATGTGTAAAGTTTTGTAAAGCTCTTATGAGGAGGAACGTACTGCATTTTGACGAACTTTTTCGTGCATAGCCGAGTGTTGCAGGGTATACAAATACAATTTTTTTTCAGTATGATAAATTGTTTATACAGAAATGGGTGACACTTGAGTGTATGTTGAAAGCCCCTGGTTATGCAGATCATAGAATGTGCGTGTGGACTGAGGTGGAGTATTGGTCAGCAGTATGATATCTGAGTGTGATCATGGTCCGTGGCGCCGAGTGCTCCCGCATGAGTGTAGTGTTCCGGGTTCCTCGTGTGAGCTAGTGTCTGGTCCTGGTCGTACCAGCATTATGCTACCTCTGTCCCACACACCGAGCGTGTGTGGGACAGAGGTAGCATAATGCTGGAACCTCTGGGGGCGCCACACAGTATTGCTATCTCTGGGGGGCGCCACACAGTGGTGCTATCTCTGGGGGGCGCCACACAGTGGTGCTATCTCTGGGGGGGGCGCCATACAGTAGTGCTAACTCTGGAGAGCGCCACACAGTGATGCTAACTTTGGGGGCGCCACACAGTGGTGCTAACTCAGGGGGGCGCCACACAGTTGTGCTACCTCTGGGGGGCACCACACAGTGGTGCTAACTCTGGGGGGGGGGCCACACAGTTGTGCTACCTCTGGGGGGCGCCACACAGTGGTGCTACTTCTGGGGGGCGCCACACAGTGGTGCTACTTCTGGGGGGCGCCACACAGTGGTGCTACTTCTGGGGGGCGCCACACAGTGGTGCTACCTCTGGGGGGCGCCACACAGTGTATGGTGCCCCCGACTCTTGCTCTTTAAAAAGACTGAAATGAAAAAAGTCCTGTTACTCTATATATCTATTTCACTGTCACTTTTGGTCAGGTCATTCGACTTCAGTAAGATTAATTTGAGGTTATTCTGGCAGATACCCAGTGATATAGTGTGTACTCTGCCCATTCGCTCTTGTCTTATTGTTTTGGCATCATCCACATATATCATCAATCCTCATCATCAGTCATCATGGGAAAGCCCAAAATTCATGGGGGTTATACAGCCCCTGGGTAATGGGAGACAAAGTACCTCCTTTCAAGGGACGACCAATGATGTGCAGGAGTTTGTAGGAACATTGTAGGATCCAGCACTGATCCTTGTGGGACTCCACTATTCCCCCATCCCTTATAATAAATCAAAGTGCACAGAGTCTGTTCTTTAATTTGTGACCTTTACATTATCGTAAGTTTTTGCATTTTTTTAAAGGTGCTACTTAAATTTCATATAAGGGACACTGGTGTCAACGATACTTAAATTTAATGTAAGGGATACTCTGCTGCCATCCTACGAGTTTCCTATGCATAGTTATGTAGTGAGTTCAAAAACTAGTTCTTTCTCTTTCGTGATCCATCAGGCAGGATGGATCACATAGTGTTACAGTGTCAGGCTGAGTCCCTTAGCTGGGACTCAGGATGGATCACATAGTGTGTCAGCCTGAGTCCCGTAGCTGGGATACTGCAGTAGAACAATGAGGTATTAATATGTACGATATTTTCGCCAAGTCTGCCCGCCCTTCTAACTTTGGTAGTGACCCTCACCTTTTTGTAAACAATGAAATCTTTTGTTAAACTTACTGCATAATTCCATGTCATTTATTTCATCAGTGTTCCGTAGTGTCAGTGAAGCAGCGTTGATACTGTGTGTCAAATTTTTTGCTTCCCTCCTCCAGAGATATTAGCGTGTCTGCTACTAGCTTCCCTGGTCTCTGCCTACCACGACTTCTACCACTCATTTACCAGTGGCCGGTTTCAAGGTTTTTTATATGCACAAATAACCCGCACGTAGGAGAATGAAACATCCTCGTAAGTTTCATTGTGTGCGGATTATTTGTGTATGTTTCAGTCACAATATTGTGACTGGACGTGTTTCTTTCCACCTGTTGTCTATGTTCCCCATCAGTAAAATGAGTACCTGGGTGTCAGTCGACTGGTATGGGTCGCATATAGTAGTATGTTATTGTTGTCAGCTAGGCCTGTATACCTTGTACATGTACTTGTAGTAAATAAAGATATTATTATTATTATTATTATTATTATTATTATTATTATTATTATTATTATTATTTCAGAGTTTTCCTACCCCTTATGGCGCGACATAAGGCCAGGGCCAGGCCCCGGGCCAGGCCTCGGGCCAGACCTCGGGCCAGACCTCGGGTCAGACCTCGGGCCAGACCTCGGGCCAGACCTCGGGCCAGACCTCGGGTCAGACCTCGGTCCAGACCTCGGTCCAGACCTCGGTCCAGACCTCGGGCCAGGCCTCTCGACTAACTGGTTAACCAGGGTGGGCGTGGTCTCAAACCAGCTTTCTTGTTATATTCGTTTTTTTTCTGCGCATTTTCAAGCTTGTCGTTTACTCTGGTTCAAGATGCAACCCACAACAGTTGGCTCATATCCAGGTACTTCCTGCTTCGTGAACAGAGCCAGCTGGTCTTCTGAGCACCAGCTAGAAGCGTTATCACATAGATTCTTGTATAGTTCTTTGCTCCCTCGTTCTGGGGTAGTGTTTCTGGGGATTGTGGTAATGGTTTCAACTTCACAAGTCATAGTGGGCAGTGAAGAAGGTAGCCAGGAGCAGTTGATGATAGCCAGCCAGGAGCAGTTGATGATAGCCAGCCAGGAGCAGTTGATGATAGCCAGCCAGGAGCAGTTGATGATAGCCAGCCAGGAGAAGTTGATGATAGCCAGCCAGGAGAAGTTGATGATAGTCAGCTAGGAGCAGTTGATGATAGTCAGCCAGGAGCAGTTGATGATAGACAGGAGCAGTTGATGATAGTCAGACAGGAGCAGTTATGATAGTGCAGAGCATTGATGATAGTCAGCAGGAGCATGTTGATGTAGTCAGCCAGGAGCAGTTGATGATAGACATGACAGGTAGTCAGTTGATGATAGTCACCAGGAGCAGTTGATGATAGTCACACAGGAGCAGTTGATGATAGTCAGACAGGAGCAGTTGATTGATGGTAGTCAGCCAGGAGCAGTTGATGATAGTCAGACAGGAGCAGTTGATGATAGTCAGACAGGAGCAGTTGATTGATGGTAGTCAGCCAGGAGCAGTTGATAGAGGAAAGACTATTACTAATTGTTATAAATGTTCTTTAATAATTAATACAACTGGATTACTATAATGTAACCTAACTTAACGTAAACTATGTAATAAAGTAATTTACTAAAATCATATTCTCTTTCAGTAAGTCAGAATTTAATTTTTGCTAAGACAGTCCGATGGGTGACTCTTCACGAGCCTTAAACTGTGACAGACTACTTTAGAATGTGCTAGGTGGGGGTGTGGGGGAGGGGGAAGAATGTGGCGAGGGGAACACTAGAAGACGAGGGGAAGGGGAGGTGAAGTGGTGAATGCTGGGATAGTGTGCATGGAAGAGGGGCATATTATATGGGGATAGAAGGATGGTGGTTATACATTGATAGTGGTGTGTGGTAGGCAGGTGGGTGGTGGCAGCGGCTGTGCCGTGGGCAGGTGGGTGGTGGCAGCGGCTGTGTTGTGGGCAGGTGGGTGGTGGCAGCGGCTGTGTTGTGGGCAGGTGGGTGGTGGCAGCGGCTGTGTTGTGGCAGGTGGGGTTGGGGAGCGGCTGTGTTGTGGGCAGGTGGGTGGTGGCACCGGCTGTGCTGTGGGTAGGTGGGTGGTGGCAGCGGCTGTGTGGTGGCAATAGGTGTATGGTGGTAGCAGCTGCATAGTGGGCAGGTTAAGTGGCAGCGGCTGTGTGGAGGGGGCAGGCAGGCAGGTGGGAGAGTACAGGTGTGGCAGGCAGGCAGGTGGGAGAGTACAGGTGTGGCAGCAGGCAGGTGGGAGAGTAAAAGGTGTGGCAGGCAGGGGGGAGAGTACAGGTGTGGCAGGCAGGCAGGTGGGAGAGTACAGGTGTGCGGCGGGCAGGTGGAGAGTACAGGTGTGCGGCGGGCAGGTGGGAGAGTACAGGTTGCAGGCAGGCAGGTGGGAGAGAAACAGGTGTGGCAGGCAGGCAGGTGGGAGAGTACAGGTGTGGCAGGCAGGCAGGCAGGTGGGAGAGTACAGGTGTGGCAGGCAGGCAGGTGGGAGAGTACAGGTGTGGCAGGCAGGCAGGTGGGAGAGTACAGGTGTGGCAGGCAGGTGGGAGAGTACAGGTGTGGCAGGCAGGCAGGTGGGAGAGTACAGGTGTGGCAGGCAGGCAGGTGGGAGAGTACAGGTGTGACAGGCAGGCAGGTGGGAGAGTACAGGTGTGGCAGGCAGACAGGTGGGAGGGTACAGGTGTGGCAGGCAGGCAGGTGGGAGAGTACAGGTATGGCAGGCAGGCAGGTGGGAGAGTACAGGTGTGGCAGGCAGGCAGGTGGGAGAGTACAGGTGTGGCAGGCAGGCAGGTGGGAGAGTACAGGTGTGGCAGGCAGGCAGGTGGGAGAGAAACGGGTGTGGCAGGCGGGTGGGAGAGAAAGGGTGTGGCGGGCAGGCGGGTGGAGAGTACAGGTGTGGCAGGCAGGCAGGTGGGAGAGTACAGGTGTGACAGGCAGGCAGGTGGGAGAGTACAGGTGTGGCAAGGGCAGACAGGTGGGAGGGTACAGGTGTGGCAGGCAGGCAGGTGGGAGAGTACAGGTGTGGCAGGCAGGCAGGTGGGAGAGTACAATTGGGGCAGGCGGGCAGGGGGAGAGTAACAGGTGTGGCAGGCAGTGGGAGAGTACAGGTGTGGCAGGAAAGGCAGTGGGAGAGTACAGGTGTGGCAGGCAGGCAGGGTAGGAAAGAAACAGGTGTGGCAGGCAGGCAGGGGGGAGTACAGGTGTGGCACAGGCAGGTGGGAGAGTACAGATGTGGCAGCAGGCGGGTGGGAGAGTACAGGTGTGGCAGGCAGGCAGGCAGGTGGGAGAGTACAGATGTGGCAGCCAGGCAGGTGGGAGAGTACAGGTGTGGCAGCCAGGCAGGTGGGAGAGTACAGGTGTGGCAGGCAGGCAGGTGGGAGAGTACAGGTGTGGCAGGCAGGCAGGTGGGAGAGTACAGGTGTGGCAGGCAGGCAGGTGGGAGAGTACAGGTGTGGCAGGCAGGCAGGTGGGAGAGTATAGGTGTAGTCTACTAGTCAACTAGTAGTGTCAGGCTATCACAAATATCTTGTCATCTCTGGTACTATTTTATTCCATATCGTGTTTCACCGATCAAAATAATTCGAAGTGTTTACTGATTTATGTTGCTTCTGTGTATAAAAAGTTTACTTATATGTCTAATAATAATTATTATGTCTAACTTTTACTGCATGTACAAGTTCAGTCAAGCCTCTTAATTACTGGGAACGTCTGAAGTCCCTCGACCTGTACTCCCTGGAAGGCAGGCGAGAAAGATAAATCATAATCTACACATGGAAAATTCTAGAGGAGCAAGTCTCAAATGTTAACACAGAAATCACTTTCTACAAAGGCAAAAGATTAGGCAGAGTATGCGACATACTCCCAGTGAAAAGCAGGGGCGCCAGGAGTATACTATGAGAAGACACAATTAGTGTTCTGGGATACAAGACTGTTCAACAGGGGTTCAATAGACCCCTGGCTGCCTTCAAGCGCCCGATCAGGCGGGCTGTAGTTCGTACGTTGGATTGCAGACCACTAGTAGCAACAGCCTGGTTGATCAGGCAAGCACCAGACAAACCTGGCTTAAGGCCGGGCTCTGGATTTATAAAATTTACCGAAACTCGTCAAAGGTATCAAAGGCTTGGGGCCAGGAGTAACAACCTTGTTGATCAGGCCCTGACGCACTGGGAGGCGTGGTCAAGGACTGGGCCACGGGGGCGTTGACCCTGGGAACGACCTCCAGGTAGGAAAAACAAAAACCGTATCTCAGAATAACAAGACTGCCTTAATATACATAACAGTTTCAGAGCTGAACACACAATGTAAGGGAGAGACATCTCCTAGGCTCTTAACTACTTGGAGACGATATGTATAAATGTTGTCAGTTGTTGGAGACTTCCTCAGGTCAGTGAGAGGAAACTATTCGAATTATTAACCTTGGAAGGTTAATAACCCAGGATAAGAGAAATAAACAGTTTTTTATGTCTGTTGCAGATGTGTAATTCTTCATCCTTGTACCATACACAGCCAGCTTCACCCTTAACACACTCCACACTCGTCCCGTTAAGACCCTCCTCATGTTTGAGTGTGCCTCTGACGACAGGGAAAGTCTCTAGAGGTGTTGAGTGGAGCCGTGCTGACCCCTACCTACTTAACCTCTCAAGAGGCTTGACCAAACACTTGCACTGAGCATATCAACTCCGGCCAAAGTGGAGGATCGCGCTGCACACATCGTGGTGCGCTGACTAAATACACTCTAAAAAGAAATATGAAAAAGGCACAATACCGTGACATTTCTGTCCTAATTAGACCATAAACAAGTCACGGGCCGAAATGTCTTCATAAGTTCATTCTATATGTGGGTTATTTATATATAAATACACACTGTTTATAGACTGGAAGTTGGTGGTCTCAAAAATCTGATTTCTATTAACATTTTTAGGAACTTGGTATATTTTAAAGGAACCTAGATGAGGTAAGTGTTGTTAATGGCAGGTGAAGTAACATTTCGATACCAATATTTAGATTTTGCCGCCAAAGTGGCTAGTTTATTACACAGCCTAAATCCAACATGTGGACGGCAGGGTTATGAGAATAGATACACAAAAGGCCTAATAACTAGGCCTCAGAAAATATTGACAGGATTACGAAAGCTACTCAGTTCACTATTACACTCAGTATTAAACCACAACACACTTGTACCTAGCCTGTTAAACCACAAGCAAGTCAACTCTACTACAGACAGCCTGTTAAACCTGTTAAATGATTTGTAAATCTAAGCCCCCATACGATAAACCCATAAGGGTCATACAGGGCCTGGGAAATGGGAGATAATGAGGTTTGATCCAAGGAAGGGCAGCACCAACTCTATATAATCAAGCGCACTTACCAGCATGAAGGATGAGCGTACGAAGAATTGAGAGGTATTCCTGACGGCATAATGTAAAGGATACCTCCTTTACTTTATACCTCGGGCACCCTTCACGTGAAGGTATCCCTCGCAGGGTGGTATCCCTCAAGTGGGTATCCATCACAGGGAGGTTTTTCTCTTAGGACGTAGCGATATATTCCTCACACGTATATTCAAGGTATACCTCACAGAGAAGTATCACTGACGGGAGGGAGGTTATCCCTCACAGAATGATTCAACCCCGGCATTGTGGTCCTTATGAAGAGTGACTGAGAGGTCTATATTTATATTATCTCTTAAAGGCGTTGAGTGAGGGGGCGACCAGGGCGACTAAGACCAGAACGACAAAGACAGCCTTATAATTATTTAACCACCTTGGGTAAACCCAGGAAGTATGGCTTATTCCAGTTAGGATAATTGTCTAGGCTGCGACTCAACTATGCACTAGCTTCAATGTACCTACTTACGCGTACAGGCGTTAGGATTTTAACATACGTCTCCAAGCACTGGGTTTACTTTTCAAAATAAATAATAAAAGGTTCCTATTCCCTTTAAAAGTCTCCTTGTTGTACTTATCTTGTG